AGTTACATTTATTTCATTCAGTGTAAGAAATAAAATAAGCAGTAACTTTAACTACTACCATGTAGGCCAGTGGTTCTCAACCTTCCTAATGCCGCGACCCTTTAATACAGTTCCTCATGTTGTGGTGACCCCCTAACCATAAAATTATTTTCGTTGCTACTTCATAACTGTAATTTTGCTACTGTTATGAATCATAATGTAAATATCTGATATGCAGGGTGCATTTTCATTGTTACGAATTGAACATAATTAAAGTATAGTGATTAATCACAAAAACAATATAGCAACGCTTGCTGGAGAAGCTTGCTCTTCCTTGCTCGAAAATATTGGGAGGGAGGGAGGGAGGGAGGGAGGGAGGGAGGGAAGGAAGGAAGGAAGGAAGGAAGGAAGGAAGGAAGGAAGGAAGGAAGGAAGGAAGGAAGGAAGATTGAAGGGAAAAGGAAGGAGATGGAGAAGGAAGGAGATTGAAGGGGGAAGGAAGGAAGGAAGGAAGGAAGGAAGGAAGGAAGGAAGGAAGGAAGGAAGGAAGGAAGGAAGGAAGGAAGGAAGGAAGGGGAGAGAGATTGAAGGGGAAGGGATGGAGATGGAAGGAAGGAAGGAAGATTGAAGGGGAAAGGAAGGAGATTGAAGGAGGAAGGAAGGAAGAAGAGAGAGATTGAAGGGGAAAGGAAGGAAGGAGAGAGATTGAAGGGGAAGGGATAGAGATGGAGACGGAAGGAAGGAAGGAAGATTGAAGGGGAAAGGAAGGAGATTGAAGGGGGAAGGAAGGAGATGGAGAAGGAAGGAAGATTGAAGGGGGAAGGAAGGAAGGAAGGAAGGAAGGAAGGAAGGAAGGAAGGAAGGAAGGAAGGAAGGAAGGAAGGAAGGAAGGGAGAGATTGAAGGGGAAGGGATGGAGATGGAAGGAAGGAAGGAAGGAAGGAAGGAAGGAAGGAAGGAAGGAAGGAAGGACGGAAGGAGAGATTGAAGGGAGGAGATGCTGCCAAGGACGCACAAGCAGCTCCGCACAATTACCCGGGTAGGGGGAGAGGTTTTGGCAGAGAGCCTGGTGGAGAGCCAATTGGCGGCACATCCGGGGCCTCGGAAGCTGCGCAAAGGATCTGCGCGCCTCGGAGCCACCGGCTGCCCTCTCACACCCGCCAAGGGATGGAGATGGAGATGGAAAGAAGGAAGGAAGGAAGGAAGGAAGGAAGGAAGGAAGATTGAAGGGGAAAGGAAGGAGATGGAGAAGGAAGGAGATTGAAGGGGGAAGGAAGGAAGGAAGGAAGGAAGGAAGGAAGGAAGGAAGGAAGGAAGGAAGGAAGGAAGGAAGGAAGGAAGGAGAGAGAGATTGAAGAGGGAAGGCACTGCCAAGAACGCACAAGCAGTTCCGCACAATTGCCTGGGGAGTGGGGGAGGCTCTGGTGGAGAGCCAAGCGGCGGCACATCCGGGGCCTCGGAAGCTGTGAGGAGGATCCGCACGCCTCGGAGCCACCGGCCACCTTCTCACACCCGCCAAGGGATGGAGATGGAGATGGAGATGGAGATGGATGGAAGGAAGGAGGGAAGGAAGGAAGGAAGGAAGATTGAAGGGGAAAGGAAGGAGATGGAGAAGGAAGGAGATTGAAGGAGGGAGGCGCTGCCAAGGACGCACAAGCAGCTCTGCACAATTGCCTAGGGAGAGGGGGGAAGGCTCTGGTGGAGAGCCTGGTGGAGAGCCAAGCAGCGGCACATCCAGGGCCTCGGAAGCTGCGCGGAGGATCTGCGCGCCTCGGAACCACCGGCTCCCCTCTCACACCCACCAACCTGGAGCCCCCCATCCTCATCCCAGCACCTCTTGCCCTCTCCTAGCCGCCCCCCCAGGACTGCCCGCTCCTCCAGTCTCCTGAGCGCCATCACAGCGGCGAGATCACAGGAGCCCCTTTCCACAGCCCATCGCATATGAGAGGGGCACGGCCGGAGCGCCAGTTCCTACTCAGAAAACGCCACTTCTCCCCTCCAGGCCCAGCCGACTGGCCTCTGACGCACATGCAGATATCGCCGCCGCCTCATCCTCTTCCCCGCCCCCTGGCCATTTCCGGAGCCCGGTGAGCCGGGAAGGAGCAGCTCCTGCCCGGCAGCCCCACAGCTGTGCCAGCCCAGGGGGGAGGGAGGCTGGTTGGGCAGCGCGGGGGAGGCTGGCCAGGAGGCACGGAGGGTAGCCGGGACGGAGCGTGGCCGGGCAACCAGGAGGCATGGAGACTGGCTCGGCGCTGCAGCTCAGTTCAGCTGGCAGCGGCGGCAGCGGCGGAGCAGCCCAGTGGCAGTGCCAGCAGAGGCCCAGACCCGGTTCGGACTGGCCACTGAGCCAGCCCAGGGCAGCGTCGGGGGCACGCACGAAGGTGCTGTGACAGCAGGAGCAGGTGCTGTCGGTGAAGGGCACCCTGGAGGCGGAGGAGCCGGCGGAGGAAGAGGAGGGCGGCAGTGGCAGCCAGATAGAGAAGCGGTGTCTCGGTTTCTAAGACCATCGGAAATATGTGTTTTCCAATGGTCTTAGGCGACCCCTGTGACAGCGTTGTTCGACCCCCAAAAGGGTCACGACCCACAGGTTGAGAACCACTGATGTAGGCAAATACAATAATTTCAGGTTTCTCTTCAGTATAAACTACAGTGCTGATACCGTAGTAGGCTAAATATTGACAAAAAGTTTGTTCTGTTTTGAAATTGCCTTGATAAATCCAAAGTTATATACCTCAATTATATCTTAAACTGATTTTTAAATAATGACTTTTGGAACAGCAAACCCAGATATGCTCAGCAGTAAGCTTGGATTCAGTTCCCAAAAGGTCCTTTGGAGCATACAGGACTATAAATGCAGTATTTGCCAAAGACTTATTAAAGCAGCATTGTCTCTTTCTAGGATTGAGTTAGCAAAAAGCAGTGCATTCACACTCCCATGCATTCCAAAACATCCTTTTAGAATTAAATGCAAAACATTTCATATCCCTACATTATGGTGCCTAGCTACTGTGATGTCTGTGTTATTAAAAAGTCCTAAAAGTAATGCACATCTTAGTAGGATATGGTAAAATCAAGAAATAGTCACTGTGCATCATTAGGTGGTACGCTAACTTTTAAAAACAATGTGCTTTGTATGTGACTTTGAGCAAATTAATTATTTGATCAAGTAGATTTAGAAATGATTATTCAAATCTCAAAATCCTTCATATGAAATTGCCCATGTGCATTTCTGAACATATGATAAATTTATATGGCTCTTGACATAATCAGAAGTACTTAGTTGTGAACAGAGAATGGATATACACAATGAAAGAACAGAGAAACAACTTCAGTCCCTAGTGTTTGCAAGCAAAGTTGGGAAACAGACCCACATCCAGGCAGCATAAAGAACATTTGTGTAGATGGACTCAATAATTTAGGACAGCTTCTGTGCAAATGCATTCAGTTTGACCCAGCGCTGTAAGATCTAAAGAGGAAACACATGAAGGTCCTTCTAAAAATAAAACCTGTTTAAATTGTGTTCATGCCTTAAAACCTTTCACCGAAGGGCTGTTCAAATAGAATAAGAATAATTAAGAGGGAGATTATTATATGTGAGGTCAGAGCAAGTCAGGTAATAAGTAGAATGATTTGTCTTTATTTCAGCACAGAAAAATTTTCAGTACTTGAGACTATACAACCTGATATATTAATACTGATCTAAGAGTAAACAGTTTGATTAGATGACCTATTAGGATAAATATACAATACATAGCTCCTTTTTCGGTTTTCTTCTACTGAAACAAAGCACAGGAGCCTGACACTGATCAGTGTACCAGACAGATTTTATCCCTACTCCCTTGGCCATGCACCCACTTCAAAACTAATTGGAGCTTTCAAATGACATGGGTAGTTAAAACCAAAAACAAAAGAAGTCTTATTGATGTCCGACATACAAAAGATTAAACTTTCCCCTCTGTCAAATTGAGGGTCTACTCTATATTGGGGCCTGAATGCCTACTTTGACCCCATACTTTCATGCTGATTAAAAAATTGAATACTCACACCCAGGGGTTTTCTTAATGCCTATTTGACTTCCCTTTTCCTTTACATTCTACAGAATAATCAGGCTTTGGTGAGTTATGAGTTGCGTGTATTGATATAGGAGAGGCGCATCGCATTACTTCTATCACATAGGATATCTCAAAATACATGCAAAGTATATATCTTTATTTTAGTTTTGAGTTATATACAGAATGAAGGCATGAACTAAGACTGCCCAGTGTAATGCAATTTCACACCAGGATGACAGTATTGTACAGCCTGTTAAATTACCTAATATGATCTAGTTATGAAAGATATAGCACTAATGTTTCATTTGTGCAAAATTGCACATAGTTCTTTCCTCTCTATTCTCTCCTTGCTGAATTTCTACTTGAAAGGGCAAGGGGGGGGAAAGTAATGCAACTCCCAGTTCTTCAGACTCTGAAAAAGCCAACTTTCCCCATTCAGATAATTATTCAAAACTAAGAAAGAAATCTCCTCCAATTAAACATCTCTTTTGATGTCAGCCTTCTTGTCAATTGTTTAAGTGAAGACTACAATATACAGGCAGAAATTCTTACCACATTTTCTGTATAAAGTTACACATTTTCTTAAAGTTTTTTAAGAAAACGTGTACTTTGCTGGTTTTTCTATTTACTTTATAATCCATACATGCTCCTTTTGCATGTAATGGGAAATGAGGGGATAATAGCAATGCCAAAGAGGTTTATCTTCAATTGGGCTAAATATGTATAATAAATATATTTGAATAGTGCTGCAGTAGTTTACATCATCTTATGGTTTAGTAGTTGTTTTACACAAAGAAGAAAGAAATAAAGATCCAATCTAACGATCCTGTTACTTTCCAACAAGCTTCTGGTAAAAAGAGAACGAAATATTGTTGAAAACACAGTATAAACGTAATACATTCAAGCTAATACACATATTATAAATACTTAAAAAGTAGGTCATCAAATAACATGAATTAGTAAAACTTACCAGTTGAAGTAATTAGCTCCAAAGTAACTAACTTGCCTTGTCTTTCCATTGCTTTCTTCTCTGTTTCTCACTATTTTTGTTATAACTTTCCACAACTGGAAAGCATTAGATACCCCTCCTCTGCAAAACACTGCCCACCCTTTTGTGGGAGGTGAATGTCTGATGGGCTATGCTGATTCTCTAAAGCTTTCCAGGCTCTCTCTGTGTTAGTTTGATGTGTGTATGTATCTGTGTCTAGTCTCTATAAATCTCTAACATGTGACTGAAGTAACTACCAAGAATGTTTTTCTTAAAAAAAAAAAAAAATACACACCACTTTTTATTCTTCTTTAAAGAAAGCATATTCTAGATCTATCAGATTGTTTTAAAAATTATTCCTTTCTTTCTCTTCACCAACCATTCTGAATTTCTTGTTTGGCTTTGCCTCACCTCCTTTTCAGATTAGTTTTGCCTATTGATTGAAAAAACCCTTATCAAAAAGTCACCTTGTCTGACATATATAAGTAGTTTACCAGTTACTTATTGAGAAATGAGGTGCAGCCTAAATTAAGCCAGCTATTAGTAAATCCAAATTGACAGAAAAGGCCTGTTGGAAACAAGGTTACAACCTCATTAATGTCTCAACTTGAACCTTCCGCCACTTTGTTATTTACTGTCCCAAGCTGTCAGTCATAATCTTTCCAAAACTCTGCCTTGTTTTGATGTACATAATTCTTTAGAAATGCAGTTGGCACAGCGTTCCATAATCCGATGCCCATCAGAAGAGTTCACCTTTAATCCTCAAATCCCCAGCTAACATGGAGGTGAAGTTTTATAATGCAAGACCTACATATCTGGAAAGCCTGGTATGAAGTAATTTTTGTAGATAATTCAGAAAGTCCAAATCATATTTTCAAATGTAGGACATATCTTGACATTATAGTGATTTTAATACAGTATATTACAAATTTGTGAAGACAAGCAATGCAAGTGAAGTTCATCAATAAATCCATTGCCGTGACATATGATGTCACACTTTCCTCTTCTCTAAATTATGTGGTCTTTGATAGTTACACAGCAATGTGCAGAAATTGGAAGCAAACCAACAGCATCAGCTATTGCTAGGCATCTTCTATTGACATGCCTATACAAAGTGAACAGTAGATTTTGTACAGTAGTTCCACCGACTTGAGGAATAACTATTTCTAAATGAACCAGCAAGCAGCAGGGGAAAAAAAATCAGTCTAGTTATTCAGATTCAAGAGCAGACATTCACAAAGGGTGTGGTCTTCCCTCATATGCCCAAATAGAGTATTAAAGGAACTGGCAACTAAAAACCAAACATTTACAGAACCAAGCTTGGATTCCATTGCCGTTTCAAAGCATTTTCTCTGGTTATGCAAGGCAATGACTTAAATAGGCACAGAAGATGAGTATTTAAGTCAAAAATTCTGGGTCTGAAAACAGGAATAATGTTAGTGCTAGGTGAAAAATGACAAAGAACAGTCCAGGAGACAAATAGATGCTGAATTAATCCTGTGCTAAATCGGTTTGAGAGAAATGAGACAAGGAAATGAGTAAAAAAGAGACAAATATTGCTCATATTCTGTGGCACTCTAAGAATTCAAGCCAAGATAATAAAGCTCTAACCTTAAAATGGCTTAACATAAAATAATAATGAATTTCTACTAAGCAGTAAAAAAGTAACCTTGTTAGTATAAAATAATTGTCCTTTGTTTTGTTTAAGAAAGGATAAGCTGCTAAAGATGATTGCTGTGGATACAAATGGTGTTCAGAGCTATTTCAGTTTCATGATATATTAAGAGATAGCAACTCTCCAGTATCAGACTATATTTTTCTACCAGACTTCTGACTAGCCATTTTTGTTGGGTGTACTTTCAGTCATGTAGGTATTATCAAATACTGCATGTCTCTGACAATAGCACCCACAGAAGCACATAGTCAGTAGGAGCACATTTCTGTACTTAACTTAATTGGGAAATAACACATATAATTGATTACCTCCCCTTCAGTTTACCTAAAGTGCTTAACAGTTTATTATACTCTGAGCTAGGTTGCTATTTCCAAAATAAAATTGAAACTTTGAGCCAAAGGGTTTAGGAAATGTCTAAAGTAAACACAAGTTACGGATTACCGATGAAGAGGAAGCCAGCAAAACTGTAAATCAAAGGAAAGATAGCAGGGAGGAGATTTTTTTTTCCCATGGAAGAACATAATAAGAACTGCTGGATCAAGCCAAGAGTCCATCTAGCTTAGCATTCTTTAACTGGCTGCATTCAGGAACTTCAATTATAACCATTGTCCTCTGTTGTTCCTTAAAGTATTCTGCCTATGATTTCCACAGTTAGCAAACTGGCATTAAGGCTAGTAGCCATTTATAGTCAAATCCTATATAAATTTGTCCACCACCACCCTTTTAAATGATCTAAATAGGTGTCCCTCAACTTCATCAGAGAAGAATTTGGGAATATTGGATTTCCAGAAACTTGTCTTAACCTCCACTGAGATCTTAAGTGCCCTTAAGAAGGTGGGAAGAATATGTCACATTTCCTGAGGTGATGATGTACCTGACTTTTGATCAAGTGCTCAAATTCAGGAATTTTGCCGGAATATAACGGCAGCCAGCACCACATATATTCAAGGCTCTGATATGTGTGAATAACCATTCCCATCATCCCCACCTCAGCTGTGTTTGAGTGAACCTACTGCCCTTTTAAATTGCCTTCCTGGTCGACTCTAAAGGCCACCTGAAATTAAGGTGGCAGCAACTGCAGAATTTCACCCAGAACCTTGATTTAGTCTTGGGGAGCAAGGCACTCTCCTGTTATTGAGGAAGGAAGAATCCCTCATCAATTGCATAATCCTGTAACCATTTTGAGCAATTTTAATATATCACTGTTACAGGGATACCGAATCCATGGGTGTGAAAATGCCACATTAGCAGTAAATATTGCTGCCGAAAGGACAACTTCCTTATGTTTTCATTTGAGAGGGACTTTGGTTTACCCTGCCTCCAACTCGGGGGTCTGTCACCTACTAATATCTTTAGTAAAGAAACCCAAAGGCAGACTTGCCAATGTTCCAGCATTAGATGTTTAGAAGTCCCTAGCATAGCACCATGGGGAATGAATAAGCATTTTTTATTGTTCTGTGCTTGTGAAAAGGGAAAAGAGATCCCTGCTTAGGTTCTCAGTTGCTGGCCAGCAAGCAAATATTGATTGACTGAGAGGTTTTGGTGCTCAAGTATTAGCCAGAAAGAGTTAACTAGATTGGATCTCTTTGCCAGCTTTATACTTATAGCATATATCCATGATATATTCATAGAACCAGGAATAGTCAAGCAGCTCAAGTCATCCTCAGGTGTATTTTAAACTAGATTTAGAAGAGTTAAATAGATGGAAAGGCCATGAATGGAAAAGAATCTGTACCAGAATACTGGAATTTCAGACCCAGGAATCACAATCACAATTTATGGCCCTTCAGGATGTGGGGGCCATAAAATTTGCTGCCATGCCAAGTGCTACCTTATTCAAGCCTGTGAACAGATGAGTATCTCTTGTGATTGACTATGTGCCCCATTTATAGCTTCAGAAGAGTCCCCTACAGAATGTTTGTTCGGTTTCAGTCATGTTTCAGGGAGTTGTATTTCCTATAGATATGTAGATAGGGTGAAAAGACCAAATAAATGATAATAGATAGTTATATTGTAAAGTACATATACAGTAAATAGCTATGGGGTAGGCAACCTCGGCTCTTTTATGACTCATGGACTTCAACTCCCAGAATTCCTGAGTCAGCATAGCATAGCTGATTCAGGAATTCTGGGAGTTGAAATCCATGAGTCATAAAAGAGCCAAGGTTGCCTATCCTTGATATACTATACAAGTTGCTATTTTGTGAGCTAATGTGAAAGGACCTATTGAAGTCAAGGAAGAAAAATTCTTTGATGTGCTTTCACTTTGCTTCCAGTTAAGCAAATTGCCACTTGTTATCTATTTTCAGTAATCCCTAAAGAAAGCACTTACAAATCTAGTACTGGTGTTCATTTAATATACATAATACATGGTTAAGAGTGGGCTGTACAGCTGCAGTCATTCCACAGTAATAATTACACACTATGAAATTATTCCATATTTAATGAGGATTGGAAAGTTCTAGAGAGGCTAAGTGGGTTGAAGTAATTTCGCCTATTTAGAATGGTTAAACGTGGTTATGGTGTAGGTGGGTTTATTGGGCCCATTTAAATAATTCCTTGGTAGTTTAGGGAAACAATCATAAATATTGCACAATATTTCAAGTGTTACCTTTTTGAAGCTGTGGATAATGTTTGATTTGTTTTGCATTAATGAATTTAATTTGTGTTAGTACACTTTAGATTGTACTGTGTTTTAATTCTAAATTGCCGTGACATTTTGTAAATAAAATAAAATTGCAGCAGAAGTATGTTACCGTTCTTCCATATTTGCAAGCTATGTGCATACCATATAACACAATATAGCAATATTTATTTTTTGGGTAGCTGCTTCAGGCTATCTCTTATTTTTCCTATCCCCAAATTTTATTTTCTGCCTAGAAATATTTATTATAAAGTAGAGTTAGATTAGCTATGAACAACTGCTAATATGATTACTCAACAATTACATATTAGTATACATGATTTAAAAGATACCTATATGTGGAGCTGAGTTTCTTTGTTCTGTATGAATAAAACCATGCAGGTTTTTTTGGTAGTGTGTTTTCCTTGATGGTCTGCACATCCTAACCAAGCATAACCCTGGTTAGTTTTAAGGCTGAGCAAGCTCAGCCAGGTGCTGCTTCCTGTTGAGATATATAATTTAATGGTGATAGGTGTGTTTTTATTTAGAGATGACACATGCTTTAAATTTAGGATTTACTCCAAGAGTCTTATTTAGGGAAGTTGATATTGATCATTTCAAGCTATTGGATCAGTTCCATCACTTATCTAATAATTGAAAATGATGTTTAAAAATTACTAAAAGGGATGAAAGTCATAGGGAATACATGCAGCCCACCAGTATCCCTTTGCAGTTAGAAGAATCTCTTCCATGGTACTGTGGTGGAATGTAGTCCTGATTCCCAGAAGGAAGGGAGGCAGTATATTCCAGAGAAGCAAAAGACAGTAAGGTTAAGGTAGTTTACGTGGGAGAGAGTTAAGACGGTTCCTCCCTAGTAATTCTCAGAGTATGTTTAATGGTGTTTAGTCTTCTTTAGTTTGGTAAGATTTTGATCTGTAGGCGAGAACCAATAAAGGAAACTACTTCGAAGAACCACAGCATGTC